CTCATCCAAAGTTTGGGCAAACACAAGCTCTTTCTAATTCCTCTCCTCCAATCTGAAAATCAGTTACATCCAGAGACTTCACAGATTTATCAATAAAAATAACTGTTTTGCAATCAATGCTTATACAAACTGAAAAAAAAGAGGGAAAAGTACTCAAAACCTACTTTTTTTTATAAAAAAAAATATTCAAACGCAGAAGCCCCTATTTTAAACAAGTTGTATCATATTCTGTAGTCTCATGATCAAGTACAATACTGACAAAGGATAATTTCTGATACACTTTTGTACAAAGAAATATTACCAACAAGTATATGGTAACCCAACAGCTAATGCTACTTTTCCTCATCAGATGACTCAATCGTACTTCTGAGAGCCAGCTGACTTCTGTAATCCATGAAATTGAAGAAAAAAAGAAATATGTGTTTGTAAATGTCTATAGTTATTACAAACTTAGGTAACACTACCAAATATGGGAATGGCCATATGAAGTCATCAGCTCAGCATTTTCATTAAGACAGCCATAATCTGCTTATTTTGCTTTTCCCTACATGATAACCACAGGAGAAAAGACAAAGAAATGACAAGTAAAAAAAAAAAAAAAAAAGGGCAGGATGAGAAGAGGAAAGAAAAAAGGCATCAGTCAAGGAAAATATTTCTACAGCTTTTTTTTTAAAAAAACAAACCCTGAACCAAACAAGAAGAAGACACACACACAAAAAAATAAAAAAATCACCGAGTACCCACCCTCTTTAGATTGGCAAAATACAACTGCTCTCACAAAGCATTACTTGGTTTTTAAGCGGTGAGAATCTATGGGCGATTGCATGCTCAAGCCTGGAGCATTTCTCAGTGCGTTTGTGGTTTGAAAAAGACAGTTTCATAAGTCTGTTTCTAATTTACCAGAACTTCAAATAAAATTTCAGTCACCCATACTGCCAATATAGCAGGTCACTCATGGAGAAGGCTGGGAGAAAAATAACTACAGGATGAGAAAAGCAACACTGCTTTTAACAATTTTATTCAATGAGTCTCTAAATGGATCTGTTTCAAAGTCACTTTCTGTTGATATGGAGTTTCATAAATGGGCAGCATAAACCGTCACCTAATTTAAAATACAAATCTGAATATAGTCATCATAGTATTTTTATGGATGATTTAAAATTGTTATTTTGCTATGCATTGTTTTATTAGGAAGCATTTCTTTACCATGAGGGTGGTCAAACACTGGAAGAGGCTTTAGGGAGGTGGTTGATGTCCCAGGCCTGTCAGTGTTTAAGAGGCATTTGGACAATGCCCTTAATAACATGCTTTGACTTTAGGTCAGCTCTGAACTGGTCCATCAGTTGGACTCGGTAATCATTGCAGGTCCCTTCCAACTGAAATACTGTACCCTGTCCTGTCCTCTCTGTTCCTATCCTATCCATTTGTGTCATATCCTATCGTATCCTGTCCTGTCCTGTGCTATGCTATCCTGTCCTATCCTGTCCTATCCTATCCTATCCTATCCTATCCTATCCTATCCTATCCTATCCTATCCTATCCTATCCTATCCTATCCTATCCTATCCTTTCCTATCCTATCCATCCTATCCTCTCTTCTCCTACGTATTTGCAGGCTGTAATAGTCCTTCTCCTTTTCTTGTTCAAGATTACATCACCAGAAGAAGCCTCCTTAACAACTTGCTTTGCGCCTTTGCGTTTTCCTGTAACCATTGTGTACGTAACCTGCTGCCTTTCTTGATTTTGTTCCTGTCAATGCTGCAATTTATTAAGCATCAGTAATGCCATATTTCTCTCTTGAGAACCTCTATGGACACTAATGAGCTCATGTGGAAGCTAGCTGACAGCCTGAAAAAAATTAATTATTGGTAAATTATTCTTGCTGGGGCTACTTTTCCATCCAAAAGTGACTACAGCTTGTTTGCCCAAATACTGTTTTTGAAAACCCAGTTAGATAGACTGGTAAATTTAACAATCCTATGAAACTACCAAGAATGACTCAAACTCTTTTGCAGGACCTACAGTAGCTACCTACATACTTTCTGTGAGTGAGCCTAGTGGGGTTCTGTGGCCATGCCTGAGTTTTAAAGGTTAAGCGGAGTCAGTCAAAGAAGACCTTTGTGCAATGGTTTTGAGAATACTGAAAGTCACCCCAAGTAGCCACCTATGGCCATGCTGGGATCAGTTGTCCTCATTGGTGTTATTTTTGCCAGAAACTCATGTTGTCCCTGCTCAAAGATGACTAGAAGCTGTCTAGTCCGAAAGACAGCACTTGCTGAGAAGCAGGGTATGCCAGCTTGGGTGTGCCAATTCAGTAAGTTTCCCCAATAATCTGGGATCCTGGTCAGAGTGAATCTGAATCTGCATTTGAAACATCATTTTTCCTTCTGGGACACTCCCCTCTGCACTGCCTTTAAGTGGCAAGAGGCAACCACCAAATGAACTATTTGAATGGCATTAAAACAGAATTATACCTGGATTTCGAAGAATGAATTATTGAAAATAAGGGTTATCTGTGTTTTTTTCTATAACCACCTATTCCTTAGTTAAGGAAGCACATAGAGCTTTCCTTACCCTCCCCTTCTGCAGGCTGAACAAGCCCAGCTCCTCTGGTCTAGAAACATCTCTGATAAGACATGAGTCACGGGCTACCTACTTTAGTGTCAGGTTCCCACAAAGATTTTGAAGGAACAAAGGTGTTTTGTCAGTAAAGCAGGCTTGTTGGAAGCTAGGAAATTTACCTGTGACTTTTGGAGTTGACTAAATTTTCAGTAAGAGAAAACAGCAGCAAGCTTTCTTTTTACAGGAGACAATAACTTTTCATTTTCCCCTAAATGGTATTTCTCTAAATGACATTTAAAAAATTAAAAAGTGTGCAACACTGTCATTAAGTCCTATAAAACTACTTATGAAACATTATTATAAGGAAATCAACACTGCAGTTAGAACATATCACTAGCTAGAATTCTTATATCACATAATCTTCCAAATTATGTAAATTAAAAGATCCATGTAAAATTAATTAGCCACACTGAGATCTATAAAGATTAATATGTTCAGAAAAAAATTACAGAATCACAGAATGGTTAGGGGTGGAAAGGACCTAAAAATCATCTATTTCCAACCCCCAAATAAGAGAGAGATGAACAGCCAGTAAGAGACAAAACTCCTGCAAGTGATGTGATGGCAGAAGTGAAAAGAAATGGCCAACTACATCTGTAATATACAGGGTTATAGAGTATTTTAGATTGAAAAAGATCCCTGGAGGTCATCTAGTCAGCTCTGTCACTCATGACGGGGCCAGGTTGGATCAGTTTGTTCAGGTCCTTATCTAGATGAGTTCTGCATATTCAAGGATGAAGATTTCAGTCTTTCTTTTAGCATAATCTAAGTACAGCTGGTAGCACAGATAAACAAAAGACATCACATCTTTATCTTCTTTTATTAAAACCCATTGCGAGATCAAAGGTTTCACGAAAAAATAGAAACTTACAAATTGTGTGAATAGGTTTAATGCACTCATAAAAAGACATTAGACAAAAAATGACTGAGATTCTGTACTATTTCTGCAATATAATCCATTGCCTGTATTCTGAAAATATTGTGGCCATTTTTTTAAGTAAATAAAAAGCCTAGCATTACACATGTTCACATATATTTACCACTTACTTAAAGCAAAAACTTTACCATATATATATATATATATATCTTTTTTTTTCAGAGAAATTAGTTCATCCCCATCTTGAAAAGACTAATAAGAAAACAATCAACACTCTCATTGGAATTACTGTGAGCTGATGTTTCTGCTGTAGAAAATTATGCTATGGAAGCCAAGAAACAGTTCTACAGAGAGTTATACAGCCATACTAAACAAGCTCCTTGCTAGACCTTCTGGATTAGCAAAACATTTTGAAAATAATGGCAATTCCTCAGTTGAAGCTTAAGCATTTCATACTTTGGCTTAAGATGCTGTATCCTTTGAAAAACAAATACCCAGTGTTACACACCTGAAAACATTCTTAACCAAATAGTAATACGCTGAAGGTTAATGCAGCTTCAAGTTGAAGCTGCAATGTCTGTATTTTCACTGTCCCCTTGTCTAATTGAACTCCTTGTGATGCACAGAAAATTAATCTGTTTATGTATTCACTCTGGGTATTTTCTTGCATACACTGTATTATGAAGTGTCTGATCCTGAAAAATGATACCCATGATGGGACTTGTATTTAGATGGCCTTCTCGAGGTAAGCACTTTTTGCACTGTAAACTCTGTTGTAAAATAACAACCACACATGATATGAGAGCTTATACCTATTTATATGAATTTCCTAATTCAGCAACATAACAACATAGTCAGAGGAGAAAAAAAAAAAGTTTTAAAATTAAAAATTAAAAAATATTAAAAATATTTTAATTTTTTAAATTTTTTTTTCAATCAGATGTTTAAACATTGTATAATAATTTATTTCTGATGGTGTATTAGTGAAGTGGAAACTGGTTATCAGTGTTAGGTGAAGCACTGTTAACTCATAAAAATAGTGAGGTGGAAACATTTGGAAATTTCCACAGAGTCTCCTATTTTAAACAACACAAAATGAAAGAAGATATAAATTCTGTTGAGTGATAGAAAGAAGTAAAATTGTCCATTAAATATCTGTTCTGTCACTGTCATCATTTACTAAGATTTGTGTTTAAAGTAATGATTATGTTTATAAGAAAATAACAGATCTATGTAGATTCTCTTATTACTGTGCATCTTTAAACTCCTTGTATAGCTTAAGTAAATAATAAGCATCAAGTTTAGCTCCCAGTTGCAACACAGGATTCTCTGTTGATCAACTGCACTGTTGCTAGCACAGATCAAAGGAAACGCACATGACCAAGGCGAAGTAAAGTAAACAGAGGAAATCAAGCTTAGGATCTTCTATAACTCAAACTATCCAGAGAACTTCAAGAAATCTGCCAAAAGCTTTTATATATTTTATGCAAACAAAACAACGATGCACTTCAAAAGCCTTGCTTTAATATTAGTACTTAGTTACAGTACATTAAAATCAGTGTGCAGCTTTTTCCATTTTATTGTAATCTCTGTAAACTCACGATTATATTGCATCACACAAAAGGTTGTGAACCCTCTGCAATCCCCATTAGATCTACTGAATGCAGTAGAGTGGAACTGCCATGATGGTATAGGAAGTTATGAGGCAGTAGACATATTGGGTGTCCAGCCCATTTGATAAGCCCGTTCCAATGTCCTCTTGCAATCCTGTAGTACAGTACTGAAGGTTATATGTGGATACTGCTGCACTAGCTGCTCCACTGTGGCTTCATTCACCTGCAATTAAAAAAAAAAAGATCTGTGATGTGAAAAATTGCATAAAAACCCAACCTCTTGCAAGCTAAATGAATGATTGAAATTTGGATTCCTGGAAGGACTTGCAGGATTGGGCTCTTTTTTTTATACTATAGCTTTGGATGCATTTATCACAAAACAAATAATACACAAAATGTAATGTTCTACTGGGGAATTAAAAAAAAAACACACCACAAAACAAAAAACCAAACCAAACTGAAGTACCACCACACCTCAATTTTACTGTAAAGGGAGAAGTTTTATATAACATTCCAGTGAATTGTTTTGATTATTTGTGATTGAAAGCAAACAGGAAAGACAAATAGTCCCTGCTTCAAAACAGCTTTGTTTAGAAAACTGCAACAATGTTTAACAATCTATTAAATTATTTTCATTCCATGCTTGACTATGCTGGCCCAAAGCTAATTATTCAAAGTCATCCCATTTAACAAAGTGCTGCCCAGAATAACATATTTCTATATTGAAATAGAAACATTTATTCAAATTCACTCAAGCAGACATAGGTGTGAAGTATAAGCCTTTTCTGACTTTGGAAAATGAAAACCGATTAAATATATTAATTAATTTATGGCACATACTAAGTGCAAATTTTTACACATGTTAAGGAGTAACTTGAATGAGCTTAAGAAATGGGCCCATGCAAACTGCATGAGGTTCAACGAAGCCAAGTACAAGGTTCTGCACCTGGGTTGAGGCAACCCCCGGTATCAATACAAGCTGGGGGATGAAGGGATTGAGCATACCCTTGTGGAGAGGGACTTTGGGATGTTGGTCAACAAGAAACTGAACCTGGCCTGGCTTCAGTGTGTGCTCACAGAGCAGAAACCAACTGTATCCTGGGCTGCATCAAGAGGAGTGCGACCAGCAGGTCAAGGGAGGTGATTCTGCTCCTCTGTTATCGTGAGACCCCAGCTGCAATACTGCAGCAATGGAGTCCTCAGTACAGGACAGACATGGCCCTGTTGGAGAGAGTCCAGAGGATGGCCACAAAAATGATCAAAAGGATGGAGCACCTCTGCTATGAGAAAAGGCTAAGAGAGAGGGGGTTTGTTCAGCCTGGAGAAGTCTCTGGGGAGACCTTATTATGGCCTTTCAGGTCTTAAAAGGGGCCTGTAAGAAAGATGGGGAAAGACTTTTTAGCAGGGCCTGTTGCAACAGGATGAGGGGTGAAGGTTTTAAACTAAAAGAGGTGAGACTCAGGCTGGATGTGAGGAAAAAATTCTTTGCAAAGAGGGTGGTGAAACACTGGCACATGTTCCCCAGAGAGGCAGTGGATGCACCATCCCTGGAGACATTCAAGGCCAGGCTGGATGTGGTTCTGAGCAATCTGATCTAGAGGAAAATGTCCTTGCTCATTGCAGTGGGGTTGGAAATAGATGACCTTTAAAGATCCCTTCCAACCCAAACTGTGATTCTATGAATCAACATTACTGAACAGAACATGCACTGTACTGTAGCTATCAATGTGGCTGCAATGAAAAATTAGAGATAACATGACTTAACATGGGGAAAAGAATGCAAACTACTCTATACTGAAGGTAGATCAATTTATTATTTTACCAATTAACAATACAGGTCAACTTTTCCACAGGTTAAAAGTACTGCTAGTCTTCACTTATGTCATTGGTAGGAGTACTCAATTTAGTCTTTTGGTGAGAGGCTAACAGGTTTTTGTGGGCAGAAATGGTGGGTTTAATAATTAAAGCATACAAGCGTGTTGCGTCTGGGATGTCCCTCCTAAATTTTGGACAGCAAAGGTAGCACCTTTACTCTTGACCAGGCAATGAAACCAGATGAGCCTAGCTAAACCCAATACCTCTGCAACTGCAACACTGTGAGGGAATGAATTTGTCAATTATTCTTAGGATGATTGCAGTTCATATGACAGAAGTAGATAGCTTCCTTCAACCATTAGACAAGTAAAAGATTAACCTAAGAACCATCACTTTTAGCTAGCTCTCTCTGAAATATTTGCTGAACACCTGCACATTTTGAAATGCATTGTCATCCCTGCCCATGGCAGAGGGGTTGGAACTACATGACCTTAAGGTCCTTTTCAACCCAAACCATTCCATGATTCCATGATTCTATGACACTGCATTTACATGCTGAACCACCTAGATCAGTAGGATATACAACTGACATAATTGTTTCCTTTTTTACCCCCCAGTGTTCTACATTCAAGGCCAAAAGTAAAAAACTAGACAAAAATGTTTACTACCATCTGAGTAGATGATCCATATCCAGTAGAAGATCCATCTTGAGAATCATATTTTAAAGCACAGTGACCACAGTATCTAATATTTTTGTCCTTAGAAGATAAAAAGGAGCGCATCATTCTGAACAGTGATTGCACCCAACTACAAGGATAAATGTAAGGTTTAATAGCCAGTTCTTCTACTTTTATAATAGAAACACTCAATCTTCATTGGAAGTTTCATCTAGCTGAGACTGACTTGGACAGAAAACTGGTTTAACCTCCCTTCATTGCACAAATTGTACTCTTTTGGCAAATTGCTATGCTACAGTAACATCTTCCAGTGCTGAAAAACAAGAAGTTACTTTTAATAAATCAAAATGAAATCAGAGATAGCACAAGTCCTCCAAAATATTTTATATTTATAGCTGAGTACATACTTTCAAACTGTCGGCAACTCTTCCTAGAAATATTGCTTGGAAGGGAAGAATCCCCTATGGTAGCAGTATTTGCTACTTTTTGCCTATTCAAAAATAGTCAAAAGCCTCCTTACCTTAAGATCTGTGGTGCAGAGTGCCATGTCAGAATTTGTCTTACTATCAGCAACTTCTTTTAATGGTTAACTCAGCCACCACAAAATGCCTACTACACACAACTGCTCATTCTGTTCTTTCATAATGGGAAACTTATTGCTTATCTGCTAGGTATCTGAAAAAATTACCAGTAGATAAAGGCTATTATGATTTGATACATAATATTTGGGCTTTATCTGTTAGACTAAGGTGGATATTATGGCTTTAGTGCCAATATCATACGCAGATTTTTTTTTCTTACAGGAAACAGTAAGTCAAATTTGTTATAAAGATGATGTAAAAAACCAGGAAGATAGGTAATGATCTCCATGTCTTGGTGTCTTTGAGTCAGGACTGAAAACATTTACAGAAGCTACAGTCTAGCTAGATATAAGCTAATGTATTTACTACAAGGCTAACGTAACTTAAACAGCATGGCCCATGATACTCAGAAGGACAGGTAATGTTACAATGGAATCTTTTAGTCTTAAAACTGATGAAAAAAGTCTGTGGTAAACCATCTATCCTAATGGTTAGGCCATTACTCAAATACTTTGAGTTTGAAAAATTGAGTTTACTCTCATGATACAGGAAAAATTATCCTACCAATCTCTATGATAAATGATCAAATATATGTAACTTCTACTTAAGTGTAAATATTTTAATCCTAAGGAACTAACGGAAATAGCAAAATATTATGCTGGACAAAATACATTCTACGTAATATTACACCACAGAAGAGGAAGAAAAAAGGATTCTATTTGGCAGTGGGAAAACCTACATGGATCCCAGGATGAGAAACAAATGTGAACAGTTAAGCCACAATTGATCCCCTATCAGAATATTTTGAAACCTTTTGTTTTACTAGGAGAAAATTCAGGTCAAACACTAAAACACTGTGAAAATTCAGTATGTTAAACTTCCTGTAGTATTGGACTAAAACTGTACTACCTAAAAGGTAGAAAAAAATAGAGAAATCAGAATTTTGTTCTTTGATAACGAATAAGTCATATCTATGTCAATTCCCTTAGTATCCTTGTCATCAGTTTCCCTAATGGTAGCATTAAGACGAAAAGTCGTAGGCCTAACCATTAGAATACACGCTTCTGTCTCCTGAAGATGCAGTCTGGCTCGTGATTAAACAAAAGTACTGAATGCCATTCCCAAAATAAATTTTTTATAACAGAGCAATTTTCTATTTGAGCTTGAACAATCTTGTTCAATGAATGAAAACTAAAAGTCTTCACATCTTAATATGCTTTAAAATGTTGTATTTTTCTTCCACAGAACTTTCATTAATCTTGAGTTGTCAAAAGGAAGACTACTCTCTGAAGATAAACTAATTACCTAATACATAATCATTAATTTGAATTTGAATAGCTTTTCAATTATATTTTAACGCTTAATGAAAGAATGCAGTCCTTATCACTAAGAGTCGATGTATTAGGTTTGTGGGAATCCTGGTCATCAAACACTAAAAAGATAACAACAACACAGATTGGTTTTAACTTATTTTTTCTTGCTGAAATAAAAATTTATTCCAGGTCAAAGAAGATTTGAAAAGTGAAAGAAGCTGGGTTACAGAAACTGGCAAGACCAAGTGATATCATCTCCTTTAACACAATTTTGCTTAAAGACATCTGAACACATATTGCCTGTTTCCCAGGAGAATATGTGACTTTGTGACAAATATCATCTGGGTGGCACTTCCTTAATTTCTTCCAGTGATGATGATATGATTGTGAAGAGCATATTTAAATATTATTTGCACTAGAGAAAAAGAATACTTCTTCATGTGATAATTACGAATTCATGTGGGAGAGAAGAACATCAATACCCATCTAGTCCATTTGAGGTGGAAAGGATTTTGAGAGTGCATCTCCAGAGGACTTTATTCTCACTCTGCTAGGTATACACACAATGTGGGTAAAATATAGAGAAAAATGTGAATCAGTGTTGAAAACACTTTTGGTCCTTTAGGTAAAATGACCTACCTATAACAGAAAGCTTGAAAAACTCCTCCAAGTCTGTAAATATTTTCCCCAGAATAAACTAACTGGCACTTATGGGCTAATTTCTCAGGTTCAGGATAAACTGAAGCTATAGGTTTCCAATAATAAGTTACTCACATGAAAAAATATTCACTCAGATTTTTGATCTGGTATGCTAGACTTATGCATCTGGTCTTATTG